GGGGACAGGTCACTGGCCAGGCTATATTGATTAAAGTGAACCACCAGGTGAACAGCATAATACACAGAAATGCACACAGTTTTGCATGCCAAAAGGATATGCAATTTTGGCCAGAATTCCTTGCAATACAGACAACTATGATAGACAATAATATTATTCTGCTACTTACTGGTTTAGCATTATGGATTTCTTTGTCAAATTTACTGCTCCGTAGACAGTAGTAATGATACAGATTCACTGCGCAATAAGGAGGCTGGGTATGAAAATGGTAATATCAGCACAATATACAAAAATAAAACGTGCAAAAAGAGAATTACACTAATCGAAATTCATCAAAAGGGATAACCAGGGTGCACATAAAGTCCTTCACATCATTAAAGGGAATCATCTGTTAATGCACCAGATCCACATATCTTCCTGCATTTAGTTTTGACAAAAATACCTTTCAAATGAGACTAAAGTGGTTATGTGACATCCACTGTCCCTTCTTTTGTGTCTTTCCAGCTAGGATGTGTAAAGACTTTAACAGCATTTCTACAGCTGCTATGTGGTGCTACATGTACAGAAACTACATTTCTCCAGATGCAGGAAGGGGTGTCAATCGGCTTCAGTGGGCGTTGCTATGCTTGACATTGCTTGGTCAGGTGTCCAGCACTTTAGGAAGGAAAACAATGAGTCCCTCTGCACTCCTAACAGTGTTCCAGGCCCAGAAATACGAAGATGGTGCTCGCAGTGATAATCACGGATGGCGCAATGCACATCAACAGTGGAAAGCAGGAATCACCAGCATAAATAAATGTCCATTTAATTGGACCAGTCGTCACACATAACAGAATACCAACGTTTCGGGGCTACACAGGGTCCCTTCATCAGGGCAATAATGTGACACATTCATTAAGGCAATAATGTGACATATTATCTGAACGTTAATTACTGAGTGCTGGTGATTCCTGCTTTCCACAGCACTTTAGGAAGCCTGGAGCAGGATTTACCTGCAAAAAGTAGCTCAGTTTCTTTGTTACTTATTAATTATATATATTATAGTGCTGACAATTTACGCAGCACTAAACAAAATGTTAAGTTTAACATCAGTCCCTGCCCAGCAGGAGCTTAAGGTCCCTATCTCATGCACACTAGGGCCAATTTAGACAGAAGACAATTAACCTATCAACATGTCTTTGGAATGTGGGATGAAACTGGAGCTCCTGGAGGAAACCCAAGCAAGCACATGGAGAACGTGCAAACTCTAAGCAAATGGTATCCTGGCCAGGATTTGAACCAGGGACACCAGTGCTGCAAGCCACTGAGCTGCCCGCTTTTGTAGGTTTAAAAAATAAATAAAAAATATACTCACCTGATCCACAAAGCCAGCAGCGCTCTCTCCAGCCTGCCTCCTCCTCCACTGTAGTCATGTTATGTCCCTCGGCCTCCTCACATCCTATACACTATAATGGACATGATGACTCAAGGATTACTGGGTTGCTGCAGCGGAGGGGAAGAGATGCCCCAGGGACTGGTCTAAGAGCCAGGCAGTTCAGAGGATCTGGTAAGTATATATATTTTTTTACCCTTACAGTGTGGGGGTAGCCACATTGCATAGAATAATACATTTTGTGCCCCAAGTTCTTCTTTAGGAGAGGACAGGTAGGCAGTTATCATATAAATTGAATACTTAGCACAATATTGTATCAGTGAGGCCATTGTGCAACTGAACAGAAAACAATAAATATGGTTTGTGTAGTGAAAGAACGTAGCCAAATTAAATTATAGAAATATATATTATTATTTAATAGCTTTGCTATTGGAATACAGCTTAGTCCACTGTGCTGTATTATTGCTAATCAAGGGCCATCCATGTTCTCAAGAGGTTTGATCAGTGTGTTGAATTGAGACAAGCACTTCAATCTTTCATTACTGCATGTGTTATACAATTCTTAGAACATCACTGACAGACAGGGTCCTGGAGTTGTGCAAGAAAAATGACAGATGGAAAGGAACAGGTGAAAAAAAGGTTGACGACATTGTTAAGACAAAAGAGGAAAACATTAATTAACCAAAAGAGCTCCCTATGTATGTAAACCACAGCTACTTGCGAAAGTGTTTTTTTTAAACATAATTTGATAATACTGCTCTACAGATAACATATAAAAATATACAGAAATATACAAAATAATAGTGATATAGAAGAACGCAGATACATGTACAATATACCTCTGTATTAACCCATACTAATCTAAAAATACTATCATATAACACCATGTATTGCTGTCAAGCATGAGTTACAGTGATGCTGCCACTGCTAAAGAGCTTCCACATATAAAGCCTACTCATTTGGAAGGTGTACATTGACCCTTATACATTAAAGGAGAACTATGAGGTGAGTGATTTCCACTCATCCTCATAGTTAGAGCCGACCTGTGACAATGACGCTGCCACAGGTCGGCTCTTATCGATTGGGAAGTGAGCAGAAACATGCCGCCAATCAGCTCACTCCACGATAGTCTCCCTGCAGTGATCGGTGACTGTCAGTCACCGCTCCCAGCAGGGATACCCCCCGATCATCTCCGATCATCCAGCGTTGAGTGGAGGAACGAATATATATAGGCAGAGCCAGCAGAGCCAGCTGTCACTCACGCAGCTGGGTGGTTTCGACAGTATTGTCGGGATCCGTCCCGACTGGAGCACTCTCAGTATATTGTGGGCAATAGCGATAGTGGGTCACGGAAGGAGGTTAGTAAATGTCCTCCACAGCAGTTTTCCACTGAAGATGGAAGTCTAAAACGTTAGATTATAGACTGGTCTCTGGTTATCTATACACAAGCTCTCTTCAGATTACTACATTACAACTAGGGATGCACAAAATTGCCAGCTTTCATTTACCTAAAATTTCAGCAGTTTCGGAAGATTTCTGAGAACTTCTTTGGAGTCAATGTGGAAGGCAAAATTAGGGTGTTATGCAAAAAACAGACCTATCATTAGGCTCACTATTTAAATTTTTTTCCACAGAGAGCAAATCTTTTATTTTTTTGGTGCGGGCAGATATTCCTGGTACCATCTTATCTCCATTTGTTTCGGGCAGAACAACCAAGATCCAACATGCCCAGAGAACAAATGCATATAAGTCTCTGCTCCATCAGACAGGTAGCTATAAATATTTATCACATAAAAAGCATGTATGCATTTACACTGCACATTTTACCACACAGTTTTATCGGAATATATACATTTATTTATCAATACTCTAAAATAGTTAGATTAATAAGTTCTGTGACTATCTTCCCATATGACGTTAAACATGTTGGCTTTGTTTTTACATTTGTACAATACTCTACAGAACTCAAAATGAGAATAATTTATCCTGTATACATGTGCAGTACTTTATATTAAGCTGCCTGCTTTCCCTTTAAGCAAACAACTCACCTAAATTTAATTGTGGCACAAGCCTCAAATAATAACCTTAATTTAGGTTTGCTGAAAGGTGCAGATTCTCTAGAGCTTGTGATTCAGCCAATCAGGATGTGATCATATCACTTAGGTCTTCTCTGAACAGTAATAAATGATTTGGCGAATGATCATGATTTTTAATGTGCAGGATATTTACGACTGCAGTCAAGTGTAAGGAAAAAGGCTACAGGCAGTTGTAAAGTAAGCCCACATACTTTATACACATATCCTGAATGGATGAAATGTCATAAATATTTATATGCAAATTGAATAAGGTTTTTTTTTTTTATATGCCAACATGAACACACAGACCTGAAGCATGGCTAATATAAAAGCCCAACAAGATGTGGTTTATTAACCAAGTATTTACTTTCCACTAGAGGAAAAAAAAGATAGAAAATAAAACTAGACTTAATATTACTATTTGCACCGCCATTCTTTGGTCTATAAACTGTAAAGAAAACAGTTAAAGGAGAACAGTGTATTTAAAAAAACAATTGCAACAGTGTCTGTGGGATATAAATAGTAAAAAAATGTACATTAAATGAGTAACTGTAAAAATGTACCTGTTTAAGAAATAACCTTTGATAAAAGTGCCCAGTACACATACAATAAATAATGTCCAGCATGACACAGAGCCACCCTCGCCCCCATACCAACCACCCACTTGGTGCATGTGTCAAACAGAAACGTTTGAGAGTATCTTACACTGCTTTTTACCTAAAAGAGAACTATGGTCCAACCATAGTTGTTTAAGGTCACAGGAGGACATTTAATATGTCCTCCTGTGACCCAAAATTCAGCATATAGCAGGCTATTGCCAGCTATTTGCTGACAGCGCAGGGCAGAGATGCGGTCGGGAAAAATCTAAATAATATTGTCAGGATCCACTCCACCACCTGATTGACAGCTGGCTCCGCCTCTCTAGAGGCAAGGCCAGCTGTGCCAGCCCCCTCCTCGATCCATCCCTCCAGTCAACACTGGAGAAATGGAGAGGGGAGGGAGGAATCCCTGTGGGGAGTGGTGACTGATAGTCACTGCTCTCTGCAGGGAGAAGATTGATCACTCAGTTTCCGACCTATAGAGCAAACATGTGACAACTGCAGTGTCACACGTCGGCTCTAATTATGGGGATGAGTGTATTTCAGTCTCCCCATAATTCTCCTTTAATCATGTACGCTGTATTTTGAGTAAATACAGACACGAAACGCTTTGATACATGTCTACTGGGGGGAAAAAAAAATCACAATTCAGCTGTCATCCCCCTTAACAGAGAAACATTATTTTTTTGCTCATCAATAGAATAAACAGGGAAGAGTCTTATTTAAACAATATCAGTAAATAACGTACAGTTGACTTTGAGGTGCAAAAAGTCTTTAGCACAGTAAGATTTAAAACATCAACACCAATACTATTCACTATTACTAGTTGTTAATATCCAGTAATACATTGCTAACTGGAGAAAAGAATACCATTGTTAGCAACATGCCCTGTTAAGCATCACACACACAACAATAACTAAATGTCCTAAAGCTGGATGCAGTAAATGCAGTTACCTGTAATCACACCAGGGGCACATGTAAGGCTTTTCTCCCGTGTGGACCCGCTTGTGTCGTGTTAAGTGGGATTGTGTTGCAGATGCAAAATTGCATTCATCACATTTAAATGGTTTTTCTCCTGTTTAAAAGAAGGAATAATGAAATAATTACAGGCGATGCATCTGTAACATTAAATTGCTATGCACAATACCATGATTGTTTTTAAGTGCTGATCAGAAGGTTATACAATTTCTTTTATCCGATATACCCATAACCTGGAGACAGCAGTGGACCATTTTATTGGCTATCACACACAACAGTGAAGTGTATTAGGTTTTCTGGTTTCTTCCCTCCATCTCCTGAGTATTTGCATTTGAGGAACCAGATCCGTTGATGGTAGACATATATAGTTACATAGTATTTGAGCTTGAATAAAGACACAGGTCCACCGAGTTCAACCTTTTATGTGTGAGTGTTGTAAGTGTGTGTGTGTGCATGCGTGCATGTTGTGCTAACAGTAAGAGGAGTTTAAAAGGAGAATGGTTAAAACCTGAGCCTATTAAAGAATTTAAATAAAACAAACAAAACCTGAGCCTATTCACTGTATAAACAGCACACATATGCCACAGTCCTTTTACCCAGAAAATATGCTTTAATGACTGCACCACAAGCAGACTTTAATTACAGTACCAACCTCAGCACACTACTACCTGCTAATTTCCCCTCCGACCACTGAATGTGGAAGTGATGTATATTACATCATTTCTGCTTTCAGCCTGTAATTTTTTTTCAGCTGCTGTTGCTGCAGAAAAAGCTGATGAAGCAGAGCTTTGCTTCGTCGGCTGCTTTGGGGTCCCTAGAATACTTTAGGGGTCTAATAGTTAAAAGAAAAAAAGGTTTTAAAAATTATAATGTAAAAAATACACAACATTTTTCCAAAGTCCCCCACCCCCATGTACACACACACATACAAATACAAACACGCATTGGGTGCACCTACGTGCAAAAACGACAATTACACCACACATGTTACATAGCACCGCAAACGTTTAGTACCTTTTTCTTTACATAGTAAAAAAAAAAAAACCATAGTGGTGATTAAATACCACCAAAAGAAAGCTCTATGTGTCCCCCCCAAAAAATTATATAAAATTCATTTCGAGCAGCACTACATGACTGAATAAATGTCAAAGTACCTTAGTGCTGAAAAATGGCCTGGACAGGAAGAGGGTTTAATATCCCGTCTTCAAGTGGTTAAAGAAGAATGCTAGAAGTATATAATATACTAAGAGTACAGTGATCAGGCGTATGTCATATAATGCCCAGCTTACAGGGTGCAGTAGTCAGGCGTATGAAATGTACAATATAGAGCAGGATTTAGGAGTAAGTAATGCAGAGAAGAAAGGGGGCAAATAATACATAACACACAGAGTGCAGGGACCAGGAGTGCATAAAGGACAGAGTGCAGAGTTAGAGGTACGTAATGCAGAGAGTGCAGGAGTCAAGAGTGCATATCACAGAGTTCAGGGGCTAGGAGTGTATAATGCACACAGTACAGGAGTGTGTATCGCTCAAAGTGCAGTTTATCCTCGATTCTCTAGCAAAGAGTGTTCACTTCTCTCCCCCTCTACTCCGACTTTGGTATGTCCCTCGGTGCCCTCACATCTAATAGAAGTGAACTGTATTAGACTTGATGACATTGGGGCTTAGACCACCAGAGCCCGGAGGGAGAAGAGGCTGTGGAGATCGGTCTAGCAGCCAGGCAGAATCAAGGATCAGGTGAGTATATTTCTTTTATTTGATAGTTTATGAAGTAGTTCATGGGGACTATTTATAAATGTATTAAAACAATTTTCAATAAAGACTTATACATTTTTGTAACTGAATTTAATTGAAGAAATGTATGAATATTGAGTGCAAGTTGTGTGAAAATATTAATAATGGACCCATATGTGGATTGCAACATTTCACAGTTGTATGTACCCAACACAGCTCAGAGATGGACTATAATTTCAGGAACAGAACACATTTCTAGATTTGTAATAATCTAAAAAAACTTTATTGGTGCACACGGTTATTACCATGGCAACCAATTTTATTTCTATATGACCAAGCATGCAACATTTAAGGTTGTCTTTTTAGGTCTTGTTATCCAAGCTTAAAGGGAAACGCTGCACGAGACCTATTTAACTTAACCATGAACTAACATGCAAAGTAAATATTACATATTTGTGCATGATAGTAATGCACATGGGCACCCACTGACTTTATCTACAATTCCAGTATGGATCCTATTTTAGTTTGCTAGGGTATATACAAAATACAAATAATGACTAATTTGTGACTGCCAATAAAATGTAAGTGTTGACAGAGGGAAAAACACTTTGTAGGATTATGATAGTCTTACAAATAATGTTTAGAGCTCTGCCCATAACTCAGCTCAATTATTTTAACATGGTTTGTGTACTAGAAGTTTATTTTTATTGGCAGGCAGTACAGGAATCTTTCCTTACCAAAACTAAAATAATGATGGGCTAAAGCTCGGAGCAGCTATTTTATTTCACTATATTAACTGGTGCACTTGTTCATTGATGGCTTCACAGATTTGTGATCATTTCCTCTCCACTTTCTCCGCCTCTGAGCTTACTCCCGGACTTTAAATGGGCAGTGTGTAATTAGTATTAATAGGGAACATTATTGAAATAAAGCTGGAAAGTCTCTCATCTGTAGCTGATCGTTTTAATATTCCTATTCTTACTTCCAGCAGCAGTACAGACTTTGCACTGACATGCCAATAATCATCTAGTTCATTTTCCATCCTTGATTTAAAACGTGGCTACAAAGAATCTGTCATTTACATATATCATTAGATATCAGCTACATTTTATGTTTGACTCAATGGGCCTGCGTAAAAAAAGGACTTTTATCAAAGAACCCTCCTGCATTTATTTGCATTAAAGTGTACCTGACTGCTATATATATATATTGTATGTATTGTTTTGTGCAATGCCTCAATTCATTAAAGGAGAACTATGGGATCAGTGTTTTTCCCCATAGTTCTCCTTAGGGTAACGGGAGGACACAAACTAGCGTCCTCCCATTACCCTAAGCTCAGTATACCGCGAGCTACAGCTCTGAGTATACGGAGGCGCAGCAGCCGGAGCGGATCCCGACGTAGATGACGGGATCCGCCCAGCTGCGTGAGTGACAGCTGGCTCTGCCTATCTAGAGGCAGAGCCAGCTGTACCCGCCCCCTCGCCCGTCCGTTCCGCCAGTCAGCGCTGGCAGATCGGAGCGGGGAGAGGGGAATCCAGCCCTCCCCCTGTCACGGCAGAGAGCCGTGACAGGATCGAGAGGTGAGCGAACCTGGTATGTGTTTGCTCACCTCCCGATCTACTGAGCCGACCTGTGACAGTCTCATTGTCACAGGTCGGCTAGAACTATGAGGTGAGTGGAAATCACTCATCTCGTAGTTCTCCTTTAACCATTGCTCCACTGTACATGGCTCATGTTTCTACAACTGGAATTGGCTTCTGTGACCAATATTAGACTTTCAGGTAGTATTTCCATTCTGTTGGGTCTGATCTTTAACAAGTGGGCAAACTATACTATTTTAAAAGGATGCAAATGCCCCTGGATCACAAAAATGGATGGGTCATGATCTGCAACCCCCATGGCCCCTTCCCCCTAAGGGATTTTTTTTAAAAACATTCTCGTACTGTTGCTGTTCAATGGGATGCTTACATTGAGCACTTGTATGAGCGGAGAAGCTAACTCATGAATACAAACTATCAATCTAGTTGATTAAATCAGGAGATGACTCAGGGCTTCAAACTGGAAAATTGTATGGATGACTTATAAAAGCTGACTCAACACCCTTTCAATACAAATCTCAAGGACCAACCAATGTTATAAATAATATCACCCACCAATTTGACACAAGCTTTATCCTTCTTCAGGATTAGACTAGGTAAGCTATGTCAAAATTTGGATCCTCAAAAGTTAGAAAAGGGCAGATTGCTTGCATGGGACTGCCATGGCAAATTTGGCCAATCACTCACCTCCATGTCATTTCTACTGGGAAGTCTCACACTCCTATCATCTGGCATAGGGTCCCAACTTTAGCATTTCACTTATCAATCACAAAGAATGGACATAGCAATGCAAGAGGGGACTGATAAAAAACTTAAAAATAAAGCCCACAATGACATTGAACATTGCCTTCTTTTTCTATACTTGCCATTAAGATAACCATGTTGTATTGTAATGAGACACACAGAGCACATACTACGAATTATGCAAGCTACTAATAGTTCATTATAGTTATATTTAATACAAAGCTATATGGGGGAAAAAATCTACTACCTGTAAGCATGATTTCACTGTAATGATAGGAAAAAAAGAGACACTCCCACAATGTCTCCATACTTTTGTCTTGATATTGAGTACTGCTTGTTAAACTGGCAATGTAAAATCTTTCTGATGCATCCTCTCTTATTACTTTCCCTATAATTAATGAATGCTACTTGTCAGGTTTAGCTAAAAAAAAAAATCTAGTCACTTATGCCACAGATATCCTTCACACAGAAGACAGTCACATAATTCAGAAGTTCCGTTTGGTAGCTATTTGTCAATCATCTCTACTATAATTGGAGGTGGCTATGCTGTTGATTGAACAAAATGCTACTATATGTCATGATGTCTCTTGAAGCTGTCAAGACTGTGTAGCCTATGAAGTACAAAGCAATCTTCAAATGAGTGATGAACTGACTAGGTGCTTCTATGATAGGAACAGAGTTGAAAAGGCTGCTTTTAATTCACACAACGGAGGAAACAGAGAGCTTGTCTGTCTCTACCGTATGAAAAATGATACAAAATAAAGTTTTAAAATCAGTATTAAAATTATATGCTATAATTATTTCAATAATGTATGGCGCTTCCCAACTTTTATAGAAGAACACATGGCATCTTTGGTTTATATGTAACAGGCATATGGTGCTTGTATATTTAACATACATATGCAATGATACAGGCCTTACGGCATCATGTGAAAAACATTTTTCACAGTAAATGAATTGATTTACTATTTTGATCCACAGCTAGTCATGTAATTTTAGGGATAATTCCACAAGATTAAGATTAACCAATGCTATGCCAATAAAATGCACACACACATACATACACACATACACACAGCATATATTAAAAAGGATATGCATGTTTAAATGACGCTGGCATAGGCAGCTGCATTTGACTCGGTATTGGCCCGTTTAAAAGCTCACTTTAAAAGTGAGCAGAGGTGAGCTTTGCTGCTTCTTCCTAAATGTCTAATCACGGCTGGGGTCAGGGAAGAGACCTAGCAGTATTGCTTAACTGTCGTAGAAAAAAATAGGGCCACAGGCCTGGTTCTGCCACCTAGGAGGGTTGTATAAATCTTAGGACTGGATAGACAAAAAGACAAAAAATAGCTAACATATATGTATTTTAACTTTGTATTTAGTGATTTAGTGTACACAGTGGAAATGACGATAAGCCATAGAAAACACCAGCAAACCTATACATGGTAAAGCTATGCTATTTTTCATAAAATAACTCTGTAGACTGTCATTTGTTCTTCCTCACATTGGACCTTACATAGAGGTAACAAACCCAAAGAAAACAGCTAAGAATTTTTTAAAAAGCCTTCGGATTCTGGCAGCAAAAGGTAAACTTGACAGAGTATACATTTTTCCCTTTCATTAAATTCATAATACAGTAAATGGCATCTTGTGCCAGAGTCCTGCAGTGAGTCAGGTTACCTGTAATGAGTAACCTGCAAGGTAAGATGAATTGCCAATGTCTGGGATTCAGTACAATATTTCTATTGAACCACCTCTAACTGCATGTTAACTTGTAGTTTAAATTTACATTTTATCTGTTGTCTTGCATACATGTTATCTTTGCTCACAATCTGTATATATTTTGTACTCAGCCATTTCAGCATCATTGCAATATACTGTGAAAAATTGGAAGAGTTTTGCCCTGTGTGTAGCGTTCGTTAGGGGTAGGGAGGGGGGAAAAAGGGGAGTATAACCGGATGTACTAGGTGAGTGCACCGGTTGTGGCTGGAACATGAGGGGTTTGGAGAGTTAGTTAAAGGGGGGGTCTTTTGCAGGTGTGTGGCTTCCGTTATGTTCGGACCGGGGTGTCCAACATGTGTACTGTAAAAAACAAAATTGGAAAGAGGAAGCGCCACTACCTGGCGCAATAAATGTGGTTGAGTGAAGTGTAAAAGTAATGTACTCACCTGTGGCAGGGTGAGCGCTTGCTTGTAACCCACTGGGTGGGGTGGGGTGGAGTGGAGCGGTGGAATCAGTCCTTCTCTTGCTGGGTGGTGCAGATGGAGACACAAGGGTAGAACAGCCAAGGGGTGAGGTAGAATGGTAGGCAAGGGAGGGGTGAACTTCTGAAACTCACCGTTTGGAAAGCAAAGGCAGGATGTCAGTGACGACGGTGTGAGCAATGTTGTGCCTGGATGGCCGTGGGGTGATCCTCTCGGTGGCTGCTGTCACAGGGGTCCTGGTTGGAGATTCCGGTGACCGGAGCTGAAGGGCGATGCGGTGCCGACAGGAGAGCCGATGGGCAGAGGAGCCACAGTGAAGGCTGTTGACGAATGTGCCGCCTGTGGGGAGGTTGTGTGTCCAATGTCCAATGGGAGCGGAGGTCAAATAAAAGTGGTGAGAGTGTTGCGGCGAGAGCCGTGTGACAGGTGGTCAGATGCTGCGGTGTGTCTCCCTCTGCACCACCCAGCAAGAGAGGGACTGATTCCACCGCTCCACCCCACCCAGGGGGTTACAAGCAAGCGCTCACCCTTACCTCACCCTGCCACAGGTGAGAACATTAATTTTACACCAACTTCACTCAACCACATTTATTGCGCCAGGTAGTGGCGCTTCCGCTTTCCAATTTTGTTTATTGCAATATACTGTACCTGAAGTTTGCATTTTCAATATTTTAGTTGGTCACTAAGAGGTATCACTTTTGCAGCACCTTTTGCCTTGTCGCTGAGGGAGCAATACTTCTGTGGGCCATTGCATTGAGCCTTGGTTTCTATTATATATGCAGAATGTCTTTTAGGGGAATATGTCACTTTGCCAAATTTAGAGTCCTGGGAATGAGGGAAGGTGGTCACATGCAATCTCAAAGTATCAGGTATTTCCACAGGCTCCAACAAACAGAGTGGCAGAAGGGCAGGGTGAAGTGCAGCATTATTGACAGGGTGGGCCTTCAGAAGAACCTGTCATTCTGCCCTGAGTGCGCAAAGTGACAGTTTCTCTTTAACACTCTCTTATGCCATAGCAGCAGTCTTTGGCAGTTTCTTTTCATGCAGAGGAATCTTGTAATTTGGCAGCTATCGCTTGGAACATGAAAGTAATTTAACACAACAGATATTTTCTTATGTTAACATCACAGCTTTTCTATGTTAACATAACTCATTCACACTACGTGTTGCAGTAATGCATGATAACACGTGTGTTTCAACACACATTACTGCAACATATGTGCAAGGCACTGCAGTGCCATTCGTTTTCAATGGCACCTAAATGTACTCACACAGTGCGCCTCATTCATATCAGTGCACCACACAGCACAGATATAAACCTTCTGTGGGTTGTGGTGTCTTTTGGGGAAAAAAAGCATTGCAGTGCATTGGAAGCCCATTCAAAATGAATTCAAATATTGCTTTTGTGCAAAACACAAAAATCAGCACATTAAAGTGCATGTGGAAATGCAGCACAATGCATCAGGAGAATCTGAATTTTTAAATGCAGCGGGAATAAGTACCTGAATTCTGTCTCAATATTAGCGTTCTGCAATCTCACGCATAGCAGCACTTCAACAGAAAGAGCCTATGGTTCCAATCAAATTTTATTAATTTGTAAAAAAACTTAGATTCTCATTTAATAAATCTCTCTATACACATCCATTTTAAATTGCAATACGTCAAAACATATATGACCAGATATCTATAGTTTGTTGTGAAAACAGCAAAGACGCTGACAGACGCTTCATCCTCAGCATCTTTTCTGCTTTTGTCATGAATGTGATAGCAAAAAAGCAAATGACCAACCTGTGTGCTGCCTCCGATGCTTCGTAAGGGCATGACGGGTCCCACCAGCAAAGCCACAAAGGTCACACAAGAACGACTTCTCGCCTGTTGCAACAATAAACAGATGTGGGATTGTAGAGGTCACAGCTCGTTAAAACATATCTATCAAGCCTTTCAGGGTTACTAATTCCTCCAATCAAATGTTTCCATGTAAATATGTCAAATGGGAATGAAATTACCACTGCGGTTTATTGACTGTGATAAAATCTGAAAAGCACCACTGAACATAATTACATACTTGTCAGACCCATAAAAATTAGCTTTATTATCAATGGAATGGTTTTGTACAACTTCATTTCTGTTAGATGCCTTCCAGATGGGGCTGCTTTATGCACTTGAACAGTTTTTATGCATACCCTGATTTTTTTTTTTTACAATTCCCATACATCTGGCCTTTCTGAGCACACTAAATATTGTCTAAAATGTAGAATACAAATGCACATTATACAATTATAATCAGAATTTACTAACACACTGTTTGTGTACGTTATTAGTTACACTCATTTTTTTTGTCTGCATCCAGAAAAAGTATTGTAAGCAAATGAATAAAATGTTATGTATTGTTAACTATAATGCAATGTTTGAGAGGTCATAAAATAAAAGGCAAACAAGCTCTCACAACTTACACTATATCACTTATTTTATTACAGCATGACTGCACTCCTCAAAAATATTAGTGTTTATTTTCTCTAAAACTCTATCTGCTGTCTTTAAACGGTAGACAACAGTGTGATTTCCCTAAGGTATTAGACCTAAATGTTTTAAATAAAGCACAGGGCAGTGTCCAAAGTGCAGACACTGTTATTAACTGATCACAAAACATTAATAGTTTTAGGATAAAATATATTAATGAAAGTTATTTGCTACTAACCATATGCCAGGAAAAAATATCCCACTAAGTAGACTAACTTCACCTCAATGATTTCCTAAAGCGGAACTCCAGCTATTTAAAAAAAAAAAATACATTGGCCAGCATGCATAATGTCTACTTCTCCACTTAATATCATTCCTGGTCCAGGCTGAATAATGGCCAGCGTTATTCAATCCACTTTCTGCGAGCCCATGTAGCCGTGGAATGCCCATGGTGGTGTTTTATCACAATGTCCTGAGCCCACAGTATCGCTGCACAGTATAGCATTCATGTATATTATGTGACCACTGGTAAGTGCAGCACTAAGAGCCACCCACTACTGCCAAACAAAAAGAGGAAGGACCTGTGGATGTGAAATTTTGGTTGAAGAGACATGGAAATGTCTTCTGCCAAAAACATCTTCCTCTTTCTCTTAGCAATCTTTTATTTCTCGTGTACACTGCAGGGCGCATGCAACTTACAATGTACACTCCTGGCTCATTCTCAGTGGAGCTCAGTGCTCCATTTCTAAATACCTGCAAAGTGAGGGAAAATTCCCTTTTAGACAGCTGCCATCAAAACAAGTGTCCCCATTGGAAGATGTACCATGTCCTGCTGTTTCTGTGACAACTGTACAATTCTGGATTCTCCAACACTTTCTGTCCTACTGACAATGATCACCAGTCAATTATATAGGGTGAATTTCCCCAGTAACACAGACATCAATAAAAACTGGACAGTGGCTGTGGCTTCCCCAATCTATCCAAAACTTCTAACACTAAAAAAAGATGTAGGATAAAGTGAATAGATGCAAGAAGTGTTTTTTTTTTTTTTTAACCTTTACTGATGAAGGGAACTCCAGCTTTAATATAGAGCTTTAGGTGATCCTTGAAAACTCATCTCTTCACGGAAGCCCATCCCCCCTCAACATAATAAGTGTCCTTTTACTTCTTCCAGTAACTCATCCCATACAGTTATTACCTTTTGTATAATGTGTCCCCCCTACTAGATTGTAAGCTCTCATGAGCAGGGCCCTCCTAACCCTCCTGTATTGAAATTGTATTGTAACTGCACTGACTATGGTGTGAACAAGCCCTAAAGAATGAAACCTGCAGATGGTACTGACTATGCATATGTACTTCTGTCTCAATCAGACTAGCATAGTTAAATATTTTTTCTGATTTTCGTTACACCTAAAAAATATTCAGCAACAATTCTCTTATCATGCCTTGACAAAAAGGACAAATATCAATATTTAATTTAAAATATAGCATATGGCCCACCAATGCATTAGTGAAGCCGTTTAAACTTGTGAGTGCCTGAAAACCAAGTACCAATTAAAAATTGGCCTACACTACGATGGGGAGAACTTGTGAAAAGCAAAGCAATACATAGTGTTAGGTTGATTATATGAACTAATGACAGTTTTTTCATTATTAAAGATTTTTCTTAGATCCCTGTCCTGTTTTCCAAAACTAGCCTTTCTTTGAAAAAGAACCCCCAAACCATATATTTTCTGAAAGCACAGGCCCATACATTGTGTACACCGCAATATGCTGCACATTTATGTTATTTATTTATATTTACTGTTGGGGGGGGCTTCGGGGAAATATCAGGGGTCTAAATAGACCCCTGACATCTCCTTTTTGAAATGGAAAAAGAAATTGGAGGACACAGAGTTTCTTAATCTCTTTTTCTGCAGCCTCAGCACTGAATGAATGGAAAGCACTCAATACAGAGGCTTCCCATTCATTCACAAACTGGTGATAGTACATATTTACTATATTCCAGTTATGAATGGGTAAAAGCCTCTGTACTGAGTGCTTCTACCCATTCAGAAACTTATAAAAAAATGGAAGTGATGTATAGCACTTATTGTTCATTCATAACTGGGGAAACTTAGTACTATGTTATGGTCTTCCCCAGTTTTGCACAGACAAAAAAAAAAAAAATCTTAATCTTCTCACTTAACCACCCCGCCCCCCAACACACACACTTTTGATTGTGCAGGATGAATTCAAATAATTTCCAAGGAGGACCTGTCAGCCAATCGATGGGCCTTCTATCAAAATTAACCGCCAACCGGCCTGTTGGCCCCCCCGACTCACGCAAGCAGGGATCACTGCAAATTTAAAAACAGGCAGTGATGCCTGTTAACATACAAGTGATCCTCCGGTTATAGGTCTGTGCACCCCCCCTTCTCTCGCTGGTCCTGAGTTCTGCTGTGCCCAGTGCGAGCCCGGGAACAGTATGGGGGCTCTGTGACAGGGGATTAGAGGGAGATCGGTACACGGTCTCCCTCCGATCCCCTCTCCAGGGTGTCAGAATGCAGAAGTGATGTATATTACATCACTTCCGCATGCTTGTGTCACTCTCCAGCTTCAGAAGCTAGAGAGAAGCTGATGAAGCAGATCTCTGCTTCATTAGCTTCTTTGGGGGTCCCTAGGTGACATTATGGGTCTTGGAGACCCCTCTCTCCATAAAGAGGACCTGTCACATCTCTTTGCTATCACATAGAGGGTTTCTTAGCTCCCTATGTGATAACAATAACGTTAAGTGAAAAAAAAATTAAAGTTGCAAAAAAAGTAAAAAATGAAAGTCACACATGAAAAAGAACAAAAAAAAAAACAAACACAAAAATGTTTAAAGTCCCCACCCATACATATATGCAAATATGTGTCGGTGCGCATACGTGCGAAAATTACGATTGTGCCATTACGCCACACGTTTCATTTCACCGCGAACGTCACAGTGAGAGCAATAATTCTAGGGCCATTAATCACTGATAACACTAAACTGATGAGCGGTAAAAGCTTTTAAAGTGTCGCCTATGGTCAATTTTGGGTATGGTAGTTTTTTGCAATTTTGCGGGTGCGCACGATTTCAAAGCTTGACATGTTTGGTGTCTATTTACCCGACGTGACCCAGACTTTTATATTTTACCAAAAAATTGGGCAATATTTTTTTCCTAACAATGTAAAACATTTTTTTTACAGTAATCTTTCCTTAATATAGTAAAAAATAAATGGCCCAGTGGTGATTATATACCATCAAAAGAAAGCTCTATCTATCCCCAAAAAAATGGTATAAAATTAATTTCAGTACAGTGTTGCATAACGGAATAAATGCCAAAGTACCGCAGCGCTAAATACTGAAAAATGGCCTGCCAGGAAGGTTGTGTAAACACCTGGTCTTCAAGTGGTTAATGAAGACCACTGTGCAATAACCAGCAGATACAGGTTGTGTAGCTCCTGGTAGGCCACAAAGCAAGACCATCCGAGTCATGCAAGGAAAAATGCTCAGCAGTGGCAAGGGCAGCTGTGAAAAACAAAAACAGTGTACATACCATAACTACTAAATTACATGGGCAAAGTGAAAGAAATCCTGAGGGCATGTCCTGTTGGTGATACATTAGGACTGTAGTGGAGAAACATTGCATTCAATAATCACTGTCTGATAGCTGCAACTTTGACATGTCTGGAGGACAACAGGTCTATGTAATTTTAGTTCTACAAACATGTAAGGCTATTCTGTTACCTGTAGTTTCACAAACATGCAAGAATGTAGTTCCAAAAACATGTAGTCTTCTCCTACCTGGCTGTTGCACTAGCCTGGCAGTTTGAGGAATCACCCAACCTCACCTGCTGTTTGACATAGCAGATTTTCAGCTAATCTTTGCCAGTACAATGGCACTCATAGAATCCCTGCCAGTACTTTCAGTGGTACTCCCAGAATCCTTGCTAGAATTCCAGAGTTCCCTGAAACGATGCTGGCCGTGTCCTCTGAGCCAAAGTGTATTTAAGCTCCAGCCTTTGAAGTGGCTGGTGCTTTGCCTCTTCACAAGCTACCCCTTGTTAGAAATGTCTAGGTATCTGTGAGGCAATCTGACTGTTGCTGACCTGGAATGACCCGACTACTCTTGTTTGTCATCTGTGAAGACGCCTGCATTGTCACCCCATATACAGTCTCCACACCATAGCCGTCCCTATCCATGTTACCCCTTGGTGGGGGTGATCCTTAGGGCCACAACCTGGTGATGGATGCAGCGAAGCAAATCAGGACCATTAAAAGAGAACTATGGAAGTAAGTGTTTTAACCCATAGTTCTCTTTAGGGTCACGGGAGGACATATACTAACCTCCTCCCGTAACCCAAAGGTCAGTATATCGTGGGCTATTGCCCGTGATGGAGTGCTGCAGCCAGGATGGAGCCAGACAATACTGTTGAGATCCACACAGCTGCGTGACAGCTGGCTCTGCCTATCCAGAGGCAGAGCCAGCTGTGCCCGCCCCCTCCCCCGTCAGTCCCTCCACTTAGCGCTGGAGGATTGGAGAGAGGAGAATCCCTGTAGGGAGTGGTGACTGATAGTCACCGCTCACTGCAGGGAGACGATCGGGAAGTGTGCGGATCGCTGCATGTTTCTTCTCACTTCCTGATCTATAGAGCCGACCTGTGACAGCTTCTTTGTCACAGATCGGCTCTAACTATAAGGGTGAGTGGAAAACCACTCACCTCATAGTTCTCCTTTAAGGTCTCTGGTCGATCTCCACCTTCAGGAGCTCTGGTAAAGACCTACCGTCACTTAGACTCCAAGCCTTATGTAAGACTGTATCAACTGCCAGTGGGCAACCATAAACATCACCACAAAACGAAGTTCCACAGTTCAAACATACTTGGCTCTCAGACCATTTTTTAATTAGCAAAATCCATCATGATGTTCCATCAAATGTTTAGGAGCACCTCCATACTAGTGTACGTATATTTGCCAAGTAAAGATTTTACATTTACTCAGCCTGATCATTATGGTATATTTGGTTGTACCCTCTAATATATTTGACCTACTAACCACTGCCTTTTGTTAAGAAATGGCAAGATAAAGGTGTACATCAAGTGGCATGGAAAGCACAAAACTTTCTTTTGCTGTCCTGACCTTCGCACACATTACCATAAGTCAGGTCAAAACTTCAGGGTTCAGTGATTAAATGCCATTTTTACTAAGGTATCATTGATTGTAGGATTTCCATCACTGTCTTTGTCAAGTAATGCCCCGGTTCAGCGATCAACTTCAAGGCAACAGCAAATCTATTAATGCCACGTCACTGTGAATATTTTAGAAAAGAGAATAATGACACCTCGAAAGACTCTCTGCTTAGAGACTGTGATTCCTTTTGGCTCAGTGTAAGTACTTTCATCAGAGTCCACACTAGCAGCTTTAACATTTGTTGGGCAGACAAAATGAGTAATTGTTTTAGGTAACCATACAGGCCGTTTACATTATGGCAGAGACAGGATGGAAAGTGGGTTTTTTTCTTAACATCTTGAATTAGTTTCAAGTGTGCCATTTTGCATTCAAATGTAGAAAGACACGGAAACTAATCCTTTATATTCTATTAGAAAACAGCCACTGTCCCCTCTCTCTCATTATGGTGCAGACTACAAGACCTAACAACAAAAATCTATATTATTGATCTAACCAAGTCTCCACAATTATTCTTTAGAAGGAAACACCGACGATAAATTACATCTGCACTGGCTTTTCATCTGCGGTTCGACATAAGTGATCTCTCAGGGCAAGCTGGAGACCTTAAATCGTCAACACCCTTGTCAGAGTAGCTAAAGAGACCCGACCTCCCACCAAATGCATGGGATATTTCTCAATAAAGAACTTTTTAAGCTAAAATCTTCACCTAAGAGGTGAACATCTGGATCATACTACAGCGATTGGCCAATTTTTGTTATCATTAATTTTAATTATTGTGGGTACAGCAAGTCAAACAGATGTTAACAATTTCCCATGATTAAGACAGTTGTACAGGAATCACAGAATATGTCAGACATGCAGAAAGAAATAGCGCATATTTATGTTCGCTACGCACAGCATGTTTATGTTTTCACTCTGGTATAACAACAGATGTGGTATTTGCCCACTGTCTGTTATCACAAAGCACCACTTACAGGCAAATATGTATTTGTGTAAACCTAAATAATTATTTTTGAATATTTTTTTTATTCACTGTGTAAATACGGCCAATTCTTTCATCTACTCTAATAGAATATCCAAACCACCTGTTTTAATGGTAACTATCAAAAACCTAATTCTACTTCCAGGTGTAAAGGTTTTCTATCTAAATGCTATTTTTATAATAGGAACGCACAGTCTGAAGGCCATAAACTTCCAGCATGAATAAAGACTTCCACAACTAACTCTTTCCTGCTTCAGACAATCACTACTTGATTAATATAAGCAACACTTGCATTTCAGTTGGCTTTTAGACACATTCAGGTTTAGTGCACATACGCAAGTGGAGTCCGCATGTGTGTATGAAATTCATAGCTTGGCAAAACTGAAAAGTGAACAGTCAAGAAGGATCGTGGGGGCATGCCAGTAACCGAGTGGCAGTGATATTCATTTATGTATTCAGTTTTAGTGGCCAAGGGCTCCAAAAAAATATTCTTACAGCATGTTTAAAAGAGTATTTCACTCATTAATGTTGGTAATTTGATAAAATGTTGCTATGACCAGTATAGGTTATTGTGGTATCATATTAATCGCACTGAACGCTGATGTAAGATGGCACTCCATAAGCAACAGTATCCCAAAAATCAGACTAGCATTTAACATCCATAAACATAAGCATAACTCCTGCTGTTGATAAACAATGAACTGATTTCAGATGACATTGGTTTTATTATTTATTTTAAAGGAAACCTATACTAAAAAAAAAAAACTGTACGATGCCACTGTGTATCTTTTTTTCTGAAAATGATAGTAAACTGTCTACCACCTGATTAGGTGCTTTAAATTCATCTGCTGCGTACCATTTGTAGGCCAGTGTTGTAGAAAATACTGAAGCCATTGGATTACCATCAAATTGGCCTGGGCATTACTTGAGGTATGTAAGATATTAACATGTAAGCCATCACATGTAATCATGGAAATTATTCCAGACAGTTACAAAAAGGCAAATGATCCCTCATCTTAAAATTGAAACCTAAGATAACAGACCTAAGAAGCAGACATCAATAATTTTGCTCTACCATGAGCTGGACAGTGAAGGACATTCGTCTCTATTGCAAGGCCTGGTACACGTTCTACTTTTTCAGAGGACTGCTGGGAAGTTAAAAGCTGTATAGCTCTCTGGTAGACATGTAATTGCGTTTATCTCCGAGTGGATATTTGTACGGATTTCGTTTAATTTGGACATTCGGATGAACTCGAATTTCAATGAGTTGAATGCAAATTAATCAAAATGTTCCTTTAACAAAAGTTCGGATCCATCAATTTTTTGTCTGTTGGGCATTACAGGCATGGTCATGTGACTTCATTCTGAAATGAGAATTTGGACAGATCCGAAATCCGAATAACGAGCCGAATCAAATTTCGGATTCGAAATCCGTAAAACAAAAAGAAATAAAAATCCGAATTAAGTCAAAATGAAACCACGTTTTAGTGGAGTTACATGCCTACTTTCTAGCTTAGAAGACATCTGAATAGGTCTATAATCCTATTTTATAAACGGATGAGGAGTACATAGAGGTTTTTATTTGTAACTGCAAAAAACACTACCCATTAATGCAGCACTACCCATTCATGCAGTTGTGAATGAAACTAGTTTAAGTACCTAAATGGACTTAATAGGAGCCTCTGTAATCATGCACAGTAGAACCCTTGGAAAGAGAGTGGCAAATAGTACATGCAAATCAGGCATGCTGAATGCAAATACACTAAAAAGGGATATGCTGACAGGAGGAGAGAGCAGATGGATGAGCTGCTGTTCCTTCACTGTTCAATCGGAGGCAGGGGAAGATCAAGCTGTATTTATTACTTAGCTGCAGCAGAGACAAGATAGGTAACCAGCCTGGCTATGCTGTCTGGCAGTGCAAATCTTGGGACTTAGCGGACTAAAATATGAATTATTTTGGCAGAAATAAAGGCTCCTAAATAGATATTTTTCAAATGCTCATTTAGCCGTTTGCCTGGAGCTCAGCTTGAACACGTCTGTTCCTTCAAGAGGAACTTCACCCTGTCTCTACTCCATCTCCCCCTGTGCAAATTTACATGTATGTATGTTCTTATCCAGAATACACACGCCATCATCGAGAGTGAGCTGTCTAGTCCGGGTTCAGCCAGCCGACCCCCTGATAATACAAGCCACCTCCACCCTCCTGTAGTGCCGGATCTATCCTTTCCAATGCTGGTGGAAGCTGAAGGTTAGGGGGTATGTGACATGCATATCCCAGAAGGTTTCAGGAGCAGGACATATCAATCTTGCCTAGGTGAGCATGGAAGCAGGGGGATTGGGCTGGGCTGGAAAAAAAAGGAAATAAACCCCCACCATACAAAAAAAAGTTCAGCTATCTAGCCCTACAGAGTAGGCATGTGCGCAATACGGGAATGTTATTTTGAGTGACGGTCGCTTTAGGGGTTAAACACCAATTGGTTTAAATAACTAAAAAATAAAGAACTAAACCGTAAAGGAGAAGGTGAGGAGAGGGAAAGTAGAAAGGGAGTTAGATAGATTGCAGAGCTGGTTAGAGAGCAAGACAACAACGTTTATCTCCTCGGCTAAAATAAGGCACCATAAAGATTCAATTTTCATTTACAGCTGCTCGAAGTACATGGAGATGTTTCAAAGTGGACAATGTCTGCTCTCTCAATGTTTATGTTAACGGTGTTTGTTAAAACATCTTTGTTTTAATTAAAAAACAAAAGTATTACTTGCCTATAAATGAGTTTTATATATAACCTGGAAGATAATGAAGACATAATTTCTAAACAGACCTGTGTGAGTCCTGTAATGATCTTTCATGGCAGAGGCTGTGAGGAAAGAATAATGGCATGTAGGCCAGGTACATTTAAATGGCTTTTCGCCTGTGTGAAGCTTCATGTGGTTATTCAGGGACCATTTCTCTCTGAAGCTTCTGTAGCAGAGGTTGCAGGCAAATTTCCTGAGTGAATAAAAAAAAAAAGAAAAAAGATAAAGAACATTGGATTAGAATAAATACAAAAAAAAAAACATGTAGAGATCAGCACATTTTTAAGCCTAAGAAAAGGACAAGACTTTTACAAGCTCAACAATGGTAAATGCAATGCCTTTGCTGAAGAGAATTGCAGCCTAAGTCTGTCATGTCTGTATAACCAGGCATTGATTTTTCTGTCGAGGCTTGGCACGTCAGCCATTTATTCTCCGCTTTGCGGTTGGGCCCAACGGGTTTGAAAAATTCTGTTACAGTCCATTCGCCCCTGAGGCAAATGTGAGAATAGATTTCACCTGTACAGACCTATGCCACTTATCCAGGGCATGTGCTGTCAGAGCAAAGGCTAAATGAAAAGCTATCTGTTCAACAGCGCTCAGACAGCCAAGTGGTGCTAAATGCTGTACTGTGCTGAAATACATCTCCGCTTACACCACCACATTTAACCCTTCTACTAGAAGGGGGCAAGCCACGTAGTGCACATGGCTGTAAGGCCTCAACATTAGGAGTAAAAACTACCACACCCATATACACAGTATATGAATATATATCTATATATATTTTTTTCCCCATACGACAACATTTTCATTGTAAGAGTCAGTCTCTCTCTCATATTTATATATAGGGTGCATTTATATACATGGTGCTATCTCTAAGTTTAGGTGTGTGTGTGTATATATACACACACACACCTAAACTTAGAGATAGCACCCTGTTTCCCCCGAAAATAAGACCTAGTGGTGACCATTCCCAGGGCCGGTGGTGGCATAAGGGGGAACTTGAAGAGCTGTGGGAGAAAATCTGTGGTGCCAACGAAGCCAGCACTAGAGGAAGCGAGGCGACACCGGACGGAGCAGAGTCGCATAAGCCGATGCCTCCTCTATAGCGCCGGCTCCTGTCACAGGTGGAGTGATACCAAATGCACTCCGCCTGTGAGGAATTAATAGTAAAAGTGCGCTTCGCTCATTCTGGCAAGTGATTGGTTAGCAAATTGCTCCTGGAAAAGTACGGAACCCCTGATTGCCCAGATCACCATATTTTTGTACATGAATACATGTAAACTGTTGTACATGAATAAGTGTGGATTGTTGTACATAAAAAAAAAAAAAGACCTATTCCGAAAATAAGACCTAGTGTGTTTTTTTGAGCCAAAAAATATATAAGACAGTGTCTTATTTTCGGGCAGACACGGTAGAAGAAAAGAATGTAGCTAGTTTTCTCCATTAAGGTGCACTGTAATTTAATTACTCTCTTAACACCCTTTCTCAATAGAATAAACATTTCCTCAATGACACACTGACATACAATGTCAACATTTATTTATATTTAAGGCCTGGTTCACACCTGAACGTTTTGTAGCGCGTGTTCAACGCTCGACGAACGCTCTACAAATTGCTCAAACATCTAAATCCCATTGTATTCAATGGGTCTGGTTCACACCTTGCCGTATTTCCGCCCGTCCGAACACGATACAAAACGGCCTACGCCCAAAGAAGCACATGTACTTCTTTGGGGCGTTTTGGTCTCGCGTTTCCATTGGGATACAGCCAAGTAGCCCTCGGAAACGGGCGTTTGTCGCGGTATCGCGGTAAAACGCGCATATTCAATACGCCTAGGTGTGAACCCAGCCTTAGAGACACAGGAATGTTCCTAACATATATTCCTTTAAAAATGTAGTATGTAAACATCTCGTATTTGCTTTCTTTTGGTCTGTTAAATAAAACATTAAAAAGGGTTTGTTATATCTTTTGGATAAGTGTAAAAAAATATTCTCACAGATATCCCAGTGAGCCCCTTTCTGTAGTGAGCTGACAGTGCTGCACTTCAATCTCAAATAATGTTATTGACCTTGTCTGCATTCTCTCTGTGGACTATAGAACCCTCCATGTTATGGAGATGAGGAGAGGGGAAGGAATTCTGTAGCCCAAAGGGCGCGTTACTGGCAAGATCACCAGATGAAAATAAAGGGGGGGGGGGGGGCAGGGCAGA